ATTATCTAATCAACCAATAGAAAAAATAATCTGCATAATATAAATCGTCAAACTAATAAAAAACTAATTAATATTGTATTAAAAATTGAAAATATCATCTATTTATAAACAAAAATATAAACTTAAGACATCATCTAAAAAAGAACGGAAGAAGTATGAAAATGTGAACAAACCTTTTGGATCCCATCTCCGAACGGGAACATAATTGTAAAGTAAATAATATTATTACTACACAAGAAAATATTACAACCCAAATAAAGTTAATAATAGGTCTCGTATCTTTGGACTTTGGTTATCATCTAAAAACTTAAAATCCTTTTTTACTTTACTGATAAATTCTAATTGAAATCTTATAGAGTGCAGAGTGCAGACAAACCTAAGTTACCGTAGAAGCCCCATTAGCTCATTGGTTGACCAACGGTTAATTAATGCTTCTACACCCAGAAGTCTGGGGTTCGAGTCCCAGGTACTGCGATTTATTAATAAATTTGCAGATTATTGGAGGCAAGTGTGCAGGAGATCTCTAGCGATGTACAATTATAGCCGTTCGCCAGGATTCTACGCAAAGAGGGAAATGTCCATCAAGAGCATAAAGAAGGAGGTGAACATGAAGAAGAAGGTGAAGGAGATGTCGTCTGTCGTGGATCTAATAAGGGTCGGAAGGAATTGTCCGTTGTAGAATCGTCTATGTAACAGTTCTCATAATTTGCAATAAATAATAAATCCAGACGATAAAAAAAAAAAAAACTAAGTTACCAAAAAAAGTGCAAGATCAACTTCAAAGTAAAAAAAACTGTAAAACAAACCTCGATCATTTAATAAAACCAGCAGCAGAAACCTCGACGTAAACAATTTAAGTTTTGGTTTTAACATATTTCAAAACACATGTTAAAAAAAAAAAAAACCTAAAACCTTGATCTATTGTTTCAAATCCTCCAAATTTCTCTAAATCACAAACCCTAGAATTAGGTTAAAAAAATGAAAAAATTGTTCTATCCTTTCTTAAGTTTAAAACGATTGAATATATAGTCTCTCGTTTTTAAAAGTTACGACATCAAGTTTAGTTACAATGTTGGTTTTTTTTAATCAAATGACTGGATGCGGACAAAACAAAACAAAAAACTCAAATGACTGGATTTTGTAATACATTGAAAAAAATTTACGTCAAGATTTTTGTTGCCAGTTTATAAAATAATCAAGGTTTATTTATTTAAATGGACTAATTAGGACTTTAACAAAAAAAAATGCATTACAAATTTAAACTAGAACAAAAAAATAATTTTATAAATTATGTCCCATACCATCTCATCCTGATCATTACTTGTCCACCACTAGGTTTTAAAGAGTAGTCATGCCGCCTGCATTTCTGACTACTAAGTAAATCAATTGGGTCAAGGCCCAACTGACAGACTTCCCAAACAAACAAATGTGTTTTTGTTTCCAACCAAGTTGAAATTTATTACCAAACTACTGGATTATTGAGCACGTCTTTTATAGTGGCTTTGATTGGTGAACAAAAATAAAGCTGTACAGCTTTGTACAGCTTTGACAGTTACCAATCACAAAAACTTTATGAAAAGCGGTACACTATAACATAAACAGTTTTTTTTTGGACAAAAACAAAAACAAATTAAAACGGTTACGGTTAAATACGGTTATGGTTAAATACGGTTACGATTAAATACAGTTATAACGGTTACGGTTAAATACGGTTATAATTAACGGTTACGGATAATTACGGTTATAGTTATTTAATGACTACAATACGGTTAATATCGGAGGCGAAATCTTACGAGTTACCTAACTTATTATAATACTTTTCATAAAATCAAAAAGTATGTTACAAACCAAATTTTCTTCATTTCGAGCAAAATAACAGTATAACATATTTGTTTGAGAAAAAGATTTTTTATAACGTAGATTTTTTCATATGCGGTATCATTTACTTTTTTGAAAATCTTAATCTGAACATTCGATAATTGTTTTTGCATTATATGGAGTTACAATTATATTTTTAAAGTTTTAACTATGCGGTTAACCATATGGTTAAATAACGGTTTTCATATGTTTACCGTTAATTAACGGTTACGGTTAATATATTTTTTAACTGTAACTAATTATTTTTTACGGTTAACGGTTACGGTTTTTAACCGTTTTATACGGTTACGGTTGAGAAACGGTCCGTAACCGTAACCGTATTTTGGATCGTAACTGGACCAAAAGCTAACCGTAACCGTATTTTGGATCGTAACTGAACCGTTTTTCAACCGTAACTGTATAAAACGGTTAAAAACCATAACCATTCACCGTAAAACTAGATTAGTTACGGTTAAAAAAAATATACTAACCGTAACCGTTAATATACCGGAAACGTATCAAAACCGTTATTTAACCGTACGATTAGCCGCACGGTTAACCGTATTATTAACCGCATAATTAAACTTTATAAAATATAATTGTAACTATGTATAATGCAAAAAAAAAAGTCTCGAATGTTCAGATAAAGATTTCCGAAAAAGTAAATAATACTGCCTATGAAAAAAATCTCATTAGAAATAATGGTTTTTTTCTCAAACAATTATTTTGGAATGTTATATTGCTCAAAATGAAGAAATTTTTTATTTATTATAGGACTAGTAAATTCATATTATTATTCTAACAATAAAATATTGTTCATTCTATATAATCTTAATTTTCATATGTAATTATATACTAAAGTACATTTCTATGTAATTTTTTTTCTTTCTAAATTCTTACTATTATTTATTATGTGTACCGCTATGATGTTTCCAATCAGAGTAAATTTTTAAAATTTGTTCTGCGTTAATTTTTTGTACAGCTTTCGTGTTTTATTCTTTTGTACAGCTTTGCACTATTCCCTAACAGCTAACAGCTCCAGCTAACCGCTCCAGCTAACAGCTAACAGCTTGTTACCAATCAGACCCAGTATATTTTTAAACTCCGAGATTCCTAACAGCTAACAATTTGTCAAACAAAAAAGTTGCAATCAATATTGTGAAGAAAAAAAGTTTCATTTAATATTTACTCCCACTTGAAAATATTAATTTCCAATTAAAAAAATGTAAAGAAGTACCACTTGTCCACTTGGAAAACATATAATTAACCTTTTATTAAATTCAATTCTAAACAAAATATATATACATAACTCAATTGAGTATGACATATAACTTGAATACTTGATAGTTTGCATTAATATCGTTATCGTTTCACTATCATTCAAAATGCAAACGCAAACGCAAACGGTTGTTGACCAAAAAAAAATGCCAACTTCAAACCTTTGTCTTCACAACAATTTATTTCGTTTGTGATCAATCAAAATACAACTAACTTTGGTTACATTCTTTGTATATTATATTATACTGTAAAATCCATTCAAATACAGCTAAAATTGGTTTGTATGTTAATATTTTTGGATGTTATAATGTAATATTTTTTTATTTTTTTTGATGAAATGTAAAATTGATTACTTGTAAGAAACCTTTACAAACTGTTTTATCAAATAATATTACTTATAATGTAATATTATTTTTTGGTCTTTTTATATTCATTGTTATAGAAAGTCGTGAATTATTGTTTTCACTCTCTGTACGATCTTTTTCTATTGACATGCTGTTCTTCTAAAGTCGTTGAAGACGGGGAACATGTCCAGATTCACGTAATACAATGTTAATTGTAACATTAAACAAATAAAAAAAAAAGAACTCTTTTTTTTTTTTTTTTTTTTTTTTTTTTTAAGAACTCCCACTTGGTAAACGTAATTATAATTTATACATTTATTCAACCATATAGAGGATTATTAGAAGAATAAACAGGTCAAGGGTATCTTTATAAGGATATGATCACCAGAGACGATAGAGCTCCACTGTATATAGGCTCCCATATCAAATGAATGGGTCGGGAGCAGAGCACACTTTCTTTGATGGTTGCGTGAGAAGCCTGTATAAATGATAACACAATTTTTTGTCAGTTGCAAAGACGTTAAAAGCTTAAATTCAAATATCCTAATTCCTTTTTCAAAGAAAAACAAATATAGTAGTGGAGAAGATATACATCCATACTACATATAGTTGAGGCCTTTGCGTTGCTGAACGTTTTTGCTATGTTTAGTATTGTGCGTTAGAGGAGCTAGTAAGACTAATGGCATTCGGTGTTGTTTTCAGTAGTTAAATTCAGTTATGTGCTAGCCGACTTCGGAAGGAACTTAATCGGTAGAGTGAGCTAACACCGTTCGCATAATTTGATTTGTGAAGTTTCTTTTTGTGATAGCTCATGGAATTGTTCAACGAGTTGCTCGTACATGGCATGGGAGGAGTATGTAATCGAGGGCTTTGCGGACTTCACCGTTGACGGCTCAATCTTTGGCCTCCAATGAAAGGTTTCTAGTGCTAGGAGTTTTGGTAATTTCGGCTTCTTCGTCTTTGCTTTCGCACTCTTATCTCGAACAACGGATTTGGAAAAGAACAACGATATCGTTTTCACTTCGTCTAACTCCATTAGCATTTGTGTTTATGTTGAGTGGGTGGACTGAAATTGTTTTTATAATTTATGCTTCCATGTTTTTATCTTTTTTTTTTGCCATAGGACCAATACTTGTATAAGTTTATCTTTTTTGAAATCGTTTTCATTTTTATGAAATATTTTCATTCTTAGTAAAAAATACTATATGTAGTGCATATACATTTATCTTAGTTTGATTAACTAAAATTTCAAGAAAGGTTTTTACAAAATAGATAATTTTCACACCAGAAAATAAACCAAATGAATCATTTTGTAATTTTTATAATATTTCGAATGCCAACCGATAACGTAAGTTGAAGCTACACAAAAGTTCAACCGATACTAAACCAAACCGAACCAAGAAGATTATCTTCTTCAATTCCTGGTTAACTTGTGTTTTAAGAGAACCGAGTGTGTACCAAAAACAAAATTCACTCAGCCCTCAAAACGCCGATAAACTTCCATGTATTCCCTATTCCGGTTAGACTAGTGTTTGTTTATTATATACACCAAAAGCTTTCTATTCTTCTTTCCTATGCCTTGGATTCTTCTTCCCGGGCCTTCGATTTTCGTTTGCCGGTTCTAGAACGTTTACGGGACGTTCCAGAACCTTCCAGCTTCCATTTGAGTTCTCCATTAGCAAGCAGAGATTGTTGACTATGGTAAGTCCTGAGACTGGTCACAGTAGCATACACAACAGCCTCACTTCTCGGTTCAGAAACCGCTCTTCTCTCAACCACATCGCTATGCCCGCAACTGGATTCTTCAACTGCTTTCTCTCTCAGGCTTTGTAGCACAGCCTCCTTGTCAATAATCTCTTCATGCTCTTCTGTTGAGACCTACATAGGTTTTTTTAAAAGGTTGTGAGAAAAATGGTCATGAGTCGAGATAACAAAGATCTTTTATCGATCGTATTAAACCTTGAATTCAAATGGGAGGCTAAGTTGAGTGGAGACACAGTCACAACCGTCACTGTAGTTAACTTTGAAGAATATATCAAAAGTCTCGTTTCGTGCTGTTCTCCTGAAAGAGGATGAGAATATATAAGAGTAAGAAATAGGACAAGAACTGACTTCTAAGAAGAGGTTAGTTTTACCTTTTCATAAGAAAAGGCTGCTTATCGAGAACTGCGTCTTTGTAATTCTGGTTATCTGAGAAAGAAACCTGGATTGCAAATGAAAAATATCAGAAAGGAATTTGATTGTTTTGGCATTGGTTTAGTAGTTTCTAGAGATCACCTCGATAGACTCGATGAATGGTAACTGAGAAGTCAATCCATGAACACTTGCAACACGCAGGGTCCAATTAATAAACCTCTGATCTGTAACAGAAATGAAAAACATGTGAGTGAGAGCTATGAAGCCTAACATCAAAAAAAAAAAAAGTTTGACATAGCCAATGACAGTGCAGGACAAGACATATATGTTGAATGAAAACCATGAAAGATTCAGGAAAAGCTACCTCCGCTTAAAGATTGAGTTAGGATTATCTGGAAAAGATCAATTCTGACATATGGGGGAATCTTCATGTTGAGAGATTGCATGACCCCTGCAACCACCTGCACATCAGATCAGAATATTGAAGGAAAAAAATCTATGAGACTCCATTTGGACGCAGTGCTGAAGGTAATCTGTTAAACATTACTACTTAAATCTATGAGACTCCATTTGGTTTTGTCCATAAATGTAGAAACAACAAAAGTTAAATCTTACCTTATCAACAAGACCATGAATTACAACATTTGCTTTCTTGTCCTTCGGGGTTTTCTGAAAGGGCGAATATAATCAGTCAACAATTCCGGACGAAAAACTACATAGTCCATAAAACACATTCTTCTATATATATTCCAAAGAAAATATCAAGGCTTGTAGCAAAGAGAGTGTAATTTTCAGAGAACCCATAATTCATAGAATATTTTTATATAAGACACGTATAGAAACTCATGGAGATGAACAAAAGAGACAATTTACCTGAAGATTGACTATCACGATCTTGCCTCCACCTCTGAGACACTTGAGAGGCAAATTGCAAGCAGGGGTTATCTGCAAACTGCACAAAGATTTTAGGATCATGAAACAATCCAAATGCAAGATACTCCAGAGAACAACTGTTTGGCTAAATGATCAAACACGAGAGTTCTTGTGAGTCATTGATTACCTGGTACCCAAACAAAGTACAAGATCAGCCATTTTGCAGTGCTTCTCCGCTGGATCAATCTCTTTCGGAGGCAAAGCATCCTGCCATGGAAAGAAAACAGCATAAGAGACATACAGAGATTTCATTTTCACGGTTCTTAGATTCTTAAACTACATTAAGAAAAAAGGTAAAACCGGTGGAATCTGAATCAAAGGCAAAGCTTTGTCGCTTTCGTATTAGAACAGCAAAGAAAATTCACCTCCCAGTCTAGGACCGTATCTTTAAGTTTAGCTCCGCACTTTTCAACAGAACACCTTCTTGATGTCTCCTTTAATCCAATAGTTTCCACCTCGAAATCACGCAGGTACCTTCAAAAGTTCAAGAAAGGTTGTCACCATTTATGGTGCAATATAGAGATAGATAATGACAGCTCTCATCACAAGGGTTCACAGTATAAGAGAGAGGCAATAACATATATTTTTGCCTTACTCTGCTCCACATGATGGGCACATCTCCATAAAAGAGTCTCCATGCAGTTCAGAAAGCTTCTCTCTTGGTATTCCAGATCGAAGATGTAAGCCGTCCACATTCTGATCATTTATGAAGCAACATATAAATGAATAATTGAAATGTAAACATGAAGACAAGATCCTATCAGTGATCAAGCACACTAGTTAAAAAGTAATTCTGTAGGGGAAAGAGGATTACCTGACTGATAACAAATTTTAAAATGCCAGCTCTTTCTAATTCAACCAAAGCCATATGAGTCATGCTCGGCATTGCACGATGAAATGGCAGAGATGCTTTGGGTAAATCTTTGCCCTCGCGCTGAAACCAATAACCACGGATCACAAATGTTAACTTTCAGGAGATGATGCTTTTAAAAAGACAAGTATATTAGCCACATAATCCAAGACAATGCAATCAAGTCAAGCAATGATGATAACAGATCAATCAATGACAGAATTCAAAATCAAATCACACGAGCAGATAGTCAAAGAAAAGAGGATGAAAAGGCCTTGGCTCTCACCTGTAGCGTCCAAATTCCTTTGGGGCCTCGGAAATCAGGAATACCACAAGAAGTTGAAATGCCTGCACCAGTAAAGACTACTAGATGCTTACTCTGCAAACATAAACCAGCATTCTTGAAGATACTTAAATAACAACAAGAAACCAAAATAATATGCAAAAAAAAAACAATAAGAATATGAAAGAGGGTAAAGATCCAAACCTTTTGAATCAACTTAGCAAGTTCTTCAATCTGCAGTTCCAAAGACAAACACCAGAAGTTAGCACAATAGTGAAATAGACAATAAACACGCCAAGATCTAGCAACCAAATCATTTTTATCAAACCTCATTTTCCAAACATTTAGCTTGTTAGAAATAACAATGATAAAACAAACAGTCAAAATTCTCCACACAAATCTGATTTCAGACAACGGTTTTCGCGTAATCAGTAAATAAAAATCAATCACAGTGTATATGAATTATGTTTTTAAGAGACCCAAAAGGAGTGATTTATCTTAAGATGATTGTTATAACCAAATTCCATTCTTCAATTAACACAACACAATGCAAGTCCAAAAACAGGTACTGTTAAAAACCTAAACTATGTTATATGAATCATCAAGTACTAATCATTGTTCAACTCTTCAATAACCCTTCACGACCATCCAAAAGACAAGTAAAAAAGAGTAAAGCCGTAATATGAACCTACGATCCAAAATTAAACACTACGAGTATCAACTCTAGAATCTAAGCAGCTTTGAGATCAATCGAGAGACAACAATAAACGCAACGTGAAATTATATAGAATCTGGAGAAAAATTGAGTAAACCCACAAAAACCCAGGAGGAGAAGGTAACCAAAATATAGAAACCTTGCATTGTAGAACATGAGATGGGTCGAAGAATTCAGCCATGCCGACTTGACCAACATCTTCAATGAAAGATAATTTCTCAGCGTAACCTAAAGACATTTAGATTTGTCTTCTCTTTTGGACAAGAAGAAGAAAAGCAGAGAGGGATGTATAAAAAAGCAGAGAGGGATCTCTTTTAGACTTGGACAGTGACTTCTATTTATTAAGAATCAATTTATTCTTCTTTTTTTTTATGTAATCTGGAATATTTTTTGGACATTTCTCAGAAATACCTTCTTTTATTTTTCAATTACCATCAAGATCTAAAAACATCACAGATTTTAGATTTTAAAAGTATTGCTAAATTTTACTAAACTACAGTATTATGAATCCTTCATAAACCTAAAGTTGTGATATTTAAAAGACAATCCAAATTAGGGTATACTTGGATGATCATCCAAAACTTATTTTATGGTATGTTTATGTTATGGTATTTCTCAAATTTATTTTGGCTAAACACAAAATTTTGATCTAAGAAAAACAATAATACATTAACCTAAAATAGCATATCTAAATTAAGTTGATAGATAATATCATTGCAACTTTTTTACATTTCACCAATTTTTTTTAATATATCATCTATCTATTAACTCTTTTTTTTATATGTAATCAGGAAATTCTGAATCTGTGATCCATAATCTCTTTAGTCTCAGAATTAGACTTTGATAATATTTGTGTCAAGTTCAAATGCAGTAGTAATTTCCACATACAAACCCGGGTTCGGTATCATTGAATCATTGTAACCAACATTCATCTAACTGGTTAAACCAAAATACTTTGAGTTATAAAATAGGTAAATTTATCTTTTTGTTAATTTTTGAAATATGTATAGGTAAATGTCAATCCTTAGAGTATTGGAACCATGATTGATTGGGTTTGTCTTGATTTACATTGATCTTATGTTGACGGCTTGACGCCCTGATGCATGCTCATACCATAGAGCTTATATTAGATTAAAATCTTGTTTTATCGAGCCGGTTTGAAACTCACCGGTCAATATCAGTTTGAGTTCAGTTTGATACATATTTTACAAGTCGATTGGTTTGAGATTTTGAATTTAGTTTGGTGTAAATGCAATTTATTATCATTATATATTTAAGACTATCTTATACCTAACTGTAAAAAATGTCAAACTAGGATGATGGTGGTGTATTGATCCAGATAAACCCATTTATTGGTGAAATCAAATGTGTTGGGATGTTTTTCAACAAATTTAGTAAAGGTAAATAAATATGAGATGATGGGAATGAGTTTTTTTCTTTCCATATTGCCATTTAATGCCTGCGAATTGCGATGATGTGAACATCTTGAGTTCTTGACTTCGACTGGTTCTATTATTTTCATTTTCTCAAGTGCACGTTCCTATATATTGAGTACCCAACTAGCTAAAACTTCGACATATTTAACATGAATGAACTTTAAAAACATCATTCTTTGGAATATTGGAGATAAGGTTTATATATCTAATATACATCAGCCAATTACTATATAATATGTGGTTTCAAGCCATTAGAGAGGTTTACCAAAGACTCGTCTTTTGAATCAAGCTAACAAAAAACTATATTCATATAGCCCAAGTTTGTCAACAGATGGAAAAGACGAAACTATAAGAACTCTCATCAACGTAAAGTTCGGTCTTCTTTATTTGATTACTTAAACAATCCATAGTTCTTCATCTTTCCCATTACAAAAGATTCAGACTTAACTTTCACACTCATCTTGAAACTCATGCAGTCATGCTATTGCTACCCACAACACATCTTCTCTAGGACATCTATTGATGAGTATGGTACCGCTATATAAATTCCAAAGTAATACAAATGCGTTTTAATTTGTCATTACATGACAAAACTTTGTCTACATCCGTTAAAAGACACAAACGTTCTCTTCAGAAATTCTCCAACACTCACGACATGTGTTATGCCATGCGGCAGATAATACGAAACCCAGGAAAAAATTCATGTATTTTTATTATAAATCTCAAAACCAAAGACCAAACACTCATCATTTTCTCTAACTCATCATGTTGTCTCTTCGAGCTTCTCTCTCTATTCCTCTTATTACCTTTTATCTATCACTTCTCAACTGTGTCAATCTAAACTCAGCTTTGGATTCAAACACTGGTTTTTGCACTCCTTACCCATGTAACCAACCGCCTCAACCGCCTTCCTCTACAGACTACTCTCCATATGGCAATCCTCCACCGTCTCCACAGTCTTCACCGCCTCCACCGTCTTCACAGTCTTCACCACCTTCACCGCCACGTTCTCGCTGCCCTCCTGTTCCGACGACAGGCTGTTGCAACCAACCACCAGGTCCACCACCTTCGACGATGTATTCTCCTCCGTATCCATACTTTTATACTCCTCCTTATCCTTACGGTACTATCGGCGGAGGGGGACAAGGCGGTGGCGGACAAGGAGGAGGAGAAGCCGGAGGCGGTACAACCGGTTCAGCGGTGGCTTACTATTCCTCTTCCTCTTCCATGCCCGTATATCTTTTGATGCTTGTGTTAGCTAATGCTTTTATTGTCTTTTAGGGCATCCATAGGTTTTAGATAAATATCAAAGTCTTATCAAAAAGTCACCTTCTCTTCTTCTGTTATTAGCTCAAAAATTTTGTTTATATAATTCCAAAGTAAATTCGAATAAAATGAATTTTATATTTTCATCGTTATTGTTCAACTAAACCGAGATCAAATCGAAAACCGGTTGGAACACATAAGAATCGCAAACAGTATATTTTCATCCCATGCAATGATCGGTACAAATATGGGTCGAGCAACAGATCACAACCGTCCACGTGTCAGTATTTGCCACTAGACTAATCAACGGTGGATATTTCTTGATGAAAATAAATCGAGAAAGATAATAAAAATAAGTTTAAATACGAGGATTCGAAAAAACTCTGTTTTATCTTCAGAGACGTTTATCAGAGAGGCATGAATGGCTTCTCTTCCTTTCAACACTATCCCGATTAATCTTCCATTTTCAGTCTCAACAAAACCTTCCTCTAAACATCACGATGACCAAGCTCTTAATCCTTCTTCTTCATCTTACTTTCACCGCGTTTCGTCTCTATGTAAGAACGGTGAGATCAAAGAAGCTCTGAGTTTAGTTACAGAGATGGATTTCAGAAACCTACGCATTGGTCCAGAGATATACGGTGAAATCCTCCAAGGATGCGTTTACGAGAGAGATTTATGTACAGGGAAGCAAATTCATGCTCGGATTTTGAAGAATGGTGATTTCTACGCCAAAAATGAGTACATCGAGACCAAATTGGTGATATTCTACGCGAAGTGCGATGCTTTGGAGATTGCTGAAGTTCTTTTCACGAAATTGAGGGTTCGTAATGTTTTCTCTTGGGCAGCTATTATTGGTGTGAAATGTAGGATTGGGTTATGTGAAGGAGCTTTAATGGGTTTTGTTGAGATGCTTGAAAATGAGATTTTTCCAGATAATTTTGTGGTTCCGAATGTTTGTAAGGCTTGTGGTGCGTTGCAATGGAGTAGATTTGGGAGAGGGGTTCATGGGTATGTGGTAAAAGCTGGTCTTGAAGACTCTGTGTTTGTGGCTAGTAGTTTAGCTGATATGTATGGGAAATGTGGTGTTTTGGATGATGCGAGGAAGGTGTTCGATGAAATTCCTGAGAGAAATGTTGTTGCTTGGAATGCGTTGATGGTTGGTTATGTACAAAACGGGATGAATGAGGAGGCGATTCGGCTTTTTTCTGATATGAGGAAGGAAGGTGTTGAGCCTACTCGTGTCACTGTCTCGACATGCTTATCTGCTTCTGCTAATATGGGTGGGATTGAAGAGGGGAAACAGTCTCATGCTATTGCTATTGTAAATGGATTGGAGCTGGATAATATCCTTGGGACATCTTTATTGAATTTCTATTGCAAAGTTGGTTTGATAGAGTATGCTGAGATGGTTTTTGATCGGATGGTTGATAAAGATGTGGTTACATGGAATCTGATTATCTCCGGGTATGTTCAACAAGGGCTAGTTGAAGATGCTATCTACATGTGTCAATTAATGAGGCTAGAGAATCTGAAATATGATTGTGTCACTTTAGCGACATTAATGTCGGCAGCTGCACGTACGCAGAATCTAAAATTCGGGAAAGAGGTGCAGTGTTATTGCATTAGACACAGTTTTGAATCTGATATCGTTTTAGCCAGCACTGTGATGGATATGTATGCCAAGTGTGGCAGCATTGTTGATGCTAAGAAAGTGTTTGATTCCACAGTAGAGAAAGACTTGATACTGTGGAATACGTTACATGCAGCGTATGCAGAGTCTGGTCTTAGTGGAGAGGCCTTGAGATTGTTCTATGGGATGCAGCTAGAAGGTGTACCACCAAATGTGATAACATGGAATTTGATAATTCTGAGTCTTCTAAGGAATGGTGAGGTAAATGAGGCCAAGGAAATGTTCTTGCAGATGCAATCCTCAGGCATATCTCCAAATCTAATCTCATGGACGACTATGATGAATGGTATGGTACAAAATGGTTGCAGTGAAGAGGCAATTCTTTTTCTCAGAAGGATGCAAGAATCTGGGCTGAGACCAAATGCCTTTAGCATCACTGTAGCTCTCTCTGCTAGCGCAAATCTAGCATCATTGCATATCGGAAGATCAATCCACGGGTACATCATAAGAAATCTACAGCATTCCTTTTCGGTTTCTATTGAAACTTCTTTGGTTGACATGTATGCTAAATGTGGAGATATAAACAAAGCAGAGAAGGTTTTTGGAAGTAAGTTATACAGCGAGTTGCCTCTCTACAACGCCATGATCTCGGCGTATGCGTTATATGGTAACTTAAAAGAAGCAATCGCTCTATACAGAAGCTTAGAAGGTGTAGGTCTTAAACCAGACAACATAACAATCACAAATGTCTTATCAGCATGTAACCACGCAGGGGATATTAACCAAGCTTTCGAGATTTTCACTGATATGGTTTCAAAACATAGTACGAAACCATGCTTGGAACATTATGGACTGATGGTAGATCTCCTTGCATCAGCTGGAGAAACAGACAAGGCATTAAGGTTAATCGAGGAAATGCCATACAAGCCAGATGCAAGAATGATCCAATCTTTGGTTGCTTCTTGCAACAAGCAGCATAAGACAGAGCTTGTGGACTACTTATCAAAGCAATTGCTTGAATCAGAGCCTGAAAACTCCGGGAACTATGTCACGATAGCGAATGCTTATGCAGTTGAAGGAAGTTGGGATGAAGTTGTGAAGATGAGAGAGATAATGAAAGCTAAAGGTTTGAAGAAAAAGCCTGGATGTAGTTGGATTCAGATTAAAGGAGAAGAAGAAGGAGTCCATGTGTTTGTTGCTAATGATAAGACACATATTAGGATCAATGAGATACAAAGGATTTTAGCATTGTTACTATATGATATGTGTTAGGATTCCAAATGATACTATTTGTACGAAATATTATAAATTTGAACATACATATTCTTAATCTCAAGAATTGAGAAGCTTGGTGATTACTGTTGTTCAATTATAAAACAAACCACCATCGTATCTTAAGTGACAAGGGACAACAAACCGTTGCGTCAGATCTTCAGACAACTAGTTTTACTCAGTCCAGCTAGTACACGGACCGACCGATTGTCGGTGGAGAATATGATAAGAGATCTCAACCATCCACGTGGTTAATCGATACCTTGGGTCCTGCGTCACCAGTTTCAGGCAACATTAATTACACAAGTACCCCTGAAATTATGCATGTAAACCACGAAATTGCTTCATCTCCGGTTTTAGCTGACCGTAACGATCACGCATTCATGCACTTTAACTTATGTTTTGTCACCGACACTGACACTGATGGACATGGCTGCAGTTAAAGACTCGAAGATTCCGGTCTAATCAAACTTTAAGGAACAAATAAAGATTTGATCTGTGAATGATATAAACGAAGAAGAAGATTCTATGCTTGTGAAATGAGCTTAAATTTTTATTAATAATGGAGTAATGAGTTTCTGATACCTTAATTTATGAAGAGGAGATACTCTTCCAATTCCCACGTGACATGTTTGATTATATAATGATAATAAAATTTTGTATGTTTTTTAGACTAAAAAGGTATTTCTATTTTTAGCTACACATACAAATCACATGATAGTTGTGAACTTGTGATACACTAGAAATTTCTCAATAAAAGAAGAACAAATCATAAATATTGTTATAAGCCAAGATAAATTTGACATTTAAACACTCTTAAGATGTGTAGGTTAAGATTAGTTGGGGACATGTGCTGCAAATGAATTTCGTAAGGCTGTTGTAATTTGCTTTAGGCTCAAATGCGTTGTCGCAATTTCTAATTTTTTTATATTCCCCCCATACTTTTCTAAAACTTCAATTCTTGATCTACATTTAGTCTACCAAAGTACCAGTAGTATAGGGTAAAATCCCAAACAATAATGTCTAGTAAAGGCAATCAAACATTATTGTAGCGGCGATATCGTCAAATATATGGTTTCCTCTTGATGGTTCATGTCCAAAAACAGACCGCAAAATACAAATATATCAACTTCTGAATCATAAACTTTCTCGCTTAGCGTGTCTCACTTGTTTCATCTAAATATTAAATTTCGTCTACATGCATTAATTCCTAATTCATAAAAATTTCCATTTCTCTAAAAAGCTACAATAATTTAATACTACTAATTTACAAAAGAGTAGGTGGAACCGTGGAAGCTGGAAAGAAGAGCATATGACATGGTCACAAAACTTGCAAAGCCCATAAGCTTAAATTCGCAATAAATACATTATAAATAATGTCATCACAATAAATAAATACACAATGGCACAATCGTAATTTCAAGCAGAATCCACGTCCATTTAACTTAACACCATCTTCTTCTTCACTCACACTCTCTGTCTCTGTCTCTCTCTCAAGAAATCCTCAAACCAACTCTTTCTCACTACACTCCCAACAATGGCGAAGAAGATGAGTTCTCTCATCATCATCTTCAACATTCTCCTCCTCCTCATAATCCAAACCCACGCGCATAACGTCACGCGCCTCCTAGCAAACCACCCATCATTCTCCTCCTTCAGCCATTTCCTAACACAAACTCACCTCGCCGACGAAATCAACCGGCGAACAACCATAACCGTTTGCGCCGTCGATAACGCCGCCATGTCAGCATTAACCTCTAAAGGCTACACAATCTCAACTCTCAAAAACATCCTCTCTCTCCACGTCCTTCTTGATTACTTCGGAACTAAAAAACTCCACCAGATCCGTGACGGCTCTGCTCTCGCCGCTACTCTGTTTCAAGCCACCGGAGCTGCTCCTGGAACCACCGGGTTCGTCAACATAACGGATCTGAGAGGTGGTAAAGTTGGGTTTGGTCCTGACGGTGGAGATCTGTCTTCTTTCTTTGTTAAATCTATTGAAGAAGTTCCGTATAACATCTCCATTATTCAGATCAGTAGAGTTTTACCGTCGGAGACTGCGGCGGCTCCGACTCCAGCTCCGGCGGAGATGAATCTTACCGGAATAATGTCGGCTCATGGATGCAAAGTGTTCGCTGAGACTCTTCTAACTAACCCTGGAGCTTCAAAAACCTATCAGGTACTTTACTAAACCCTGATTAGTACTCCCTCCGTATTTTAATAATTGTCGTTTTAGAAAATTTATTTTTTTGAATTGGATGTCGTTTTCAAATTTCTATGCAAAATTTATTACTTTTTAATGTTTTATGACATCATAAGACATTAAAAAGTAAGAAATTTTGCATTAAAATTTGAAAACGACATCCAATTCAAAAAAATAAAAATTCTAAAACGACAATTATTAAAATACGGAGGGAGTAATTAATTACAATAATTAGTAATCTTCTGTTTAATTAATCAATAAATAGATGCATGTCGCTGTATAATAAATGTTGAACAAAAAGAAGTAGGTACACTTATCACTACTAAACCCTGATTTTAGTAAGTAATCAATTAGGAATATATTGACAACAAAAATTAGTACTGTATTAATTTTCTATTTTCCATTTATAGTATAATTACTCAATACGTAGATGCATGTGTCTGTAATTTTTTTTTTTTTGGGCAAACTGATGCATGTGTCTGTATAAATTTAGAAATTATCAAACAAAAAGAATCAGGAATTTACACTAATTAACCCTGATTAGTAATCTATTTAACAATAATTTATTAGTTTTATTACTTTATATAGTCTCTTAAATTTCCGTTGTTATTATATGAGAAGTTAATTAATTAGAAAAGAATAAAAGATGCATGTGATTGTACTGTTGGCTTGTAGCCAATAGCCATTGATTTTGAACAAAAAGAAAGAGTCAAAAGGTGTTGACTATTTGGTAAGTAATGAGCAAATATAGTCAAACATATAGACTTAATTACCTCAATTATCGCAACATTATTAGTCAGTTTTTCCAATTCGAACTTATGAAACCTAATTCTATAAACGTAATTCATATTTGAAAAGTAGCAATAATTTTCCCACTAACACACTAGCCCTTATAATTGAGTAGCTAGCTACAAAAGTTTCAACTTCACTATCTTTAAGTCAACTTCAAGATAGGCCAAAATGATATTGAGAGATTAAAAATGGGTTTTGGATTGTGTTTATGTTGTAACAGGAGAGTTTAGAAGGAGGCATGACAGTGTTCTGTCCAGGAGATGATGCCATGAAAGGTTTCTTGCCCAAATACAAGAACTTGACAGCTCCAAAGAAAGAAGCTTTCCTCGATTTCCTTGCTGTCCCGACATATTACTCAATGGCAATGCTCAAATCCAACAACGGTCCGATGAACACACTCGCGACTGATGGAGCCAACAAATTTGAGCTCACTGTACAGAACGATGGAGAAAAAGTTACGCTCAAGACAAGGATCAACACTGTCAAGATCGTTGATACTCTCATTGATGAGCAGCCTTTGGCTATTTATGCGACGGATAAGGTTTTGTTGCCTAAGGAGTTGTTTAAGGCTTCGGCTGTTGAAGCTCCGGCTCCTGCTCCGGCACCGGAGGACGGTGATGCTGCGGATTCTCCAAAACCAGCTAAAGGGAAAGCGAAAGGGAAGAAGAAGAAGGCTGCACCGTCGCCGGATGAAGCTTTTGGTGACTCGGATTCGCCTGCGGAAGGGCCTGATGGAGTGGCGGATGATGCGACGGCAGATGATGCCGGTGCGGTTCGGATCATCGGAGGAGCTAAGGCTGGTTTGGTGGTGAGCTTGCTCTGCTTGTTTGCTTCTTCTTGGCTTCTATAGTTTCACTTCTTGTTTCTTCTATTCTTCTATGTTTTTTGGTGAATCTTTTATTTATGGCTTTTGGGGGAAAGTAAATGAGGATTATTTATTTCCCCCTATTATTGAGTTTTTTTTTTTTAATTTAAAATTTGGTTGTCGAATTAAATAGTCGGTAGTTAATATATTTGTGTGTTCTTGTTTCACGTGTTTGTTTAGTTGATGATGTGTAAACAAGTCCTGATTTTGGTGATCTTGTCATATTTTTCATGTTTTTGTATTTGTCTAACTGATTTTCACATAATGAGTCCAAAAATTAATTCAGATCTTCACAAATCAGAAATTTGAAAGGTAACGAAATTTACTATTGAATCAAAGGAAAAATCCTTTAAATATATACTAGATCATCACCCGTACTAAAGTACGGGTTGAATTTTATTTATTACAAAATTTATATAATATATATATTAGAACTAAGTTTTAATATATTATAATAATAAGTGAAAAAAATATTAATTTTTTTGTCAGTCCCTATATACAATATTAGAATAAATATAGAATTTTTTCTATAATACTCAATTATGGATATTTTTTTTTTAAGATATGAAAACGGAAAATAATTTTATTTTTTAAAAAGTAATATTTTTTAAACAATGAGTTAATTTATGTTAACAACCACAAAATAAGATTGCATATATTTCAGTTAGATCAAAAATTAAAATATCATAAATGAATCGCATATAAAACATAGATTATTTTGAATTAATTAAGAAAAGTAGCTATTATTTTGAATTAATTTAGAAAATTCTTTGGTTGTTGAAATAGAGATTTGTTTGAGCTAATCTAATTACAGAATTTGTTTGAGATTTATAATTACGGAATTTACCAATTATTCGCATAATCGAATATGTTATAAACATATATTTAGTGTATAATAATACCAAAATCAACCCGTGCGTGGAGTCTATATTTTTATTTTAGAATCTCAATATTTCATTTGAAAATATTGCGTGCACAATCTATTATTCGTTAATTCTAAAATTGCTTGCGGAATCAAATTTTTAAATATTTAGAGGTGTCAAACCATATTTAAATGTTCTACACTATTTTTAAATATTCCAAATTAAAATATTTAATTTTTTTTTTTAGTTTATAAAATTATGAATTTCAAAAAACAAATTATATGAAATTAAATATAAATATTCAAATAGTTATAAGGATCAAAACTCATTTCATCGTATAATATATTATATTTAACCCGCTACCTATTATAAATATTTTTAAAAATAATCAAATTAGAGTATTTATAATTTTTAACTTTTTGAACTATTAAGTATTGATGATTTTCTCTAAAAATATCAAGTAAAACTTATTTTAAATGTTGCAAATTAAAATATTTAAATTTTTATTGTAGTATATAAAATTATACATTTCAAAAAAATAAATGTATGAAATCGAATATAAATATTCAAATTCTGACCCGTTGCTCAGTCGAAATTTTTGTTGACTTTATTTTTGTGTAAAAAAAATATATTACTCAAGTCCGAATTTTTGACCCGTTTAGTTGTTTCCTTTATAGATTGAACAATTTATATGCGTTTTTAAAAATTCAAATCTTGGCATATGCAGAAAAAAAAAATTACTTTTTTTTTATTATGTAGATGATATGATGATTTATTTGTTTCATATAAATATAATCATATTAAGATGAAAGGTGAAGTTTAATGATTAATAACAAATTAATATGGTAAGTTAGATATCAAATCTTATATGTTCATTTTGATTGGTCATTTAAAAAAAAAATAACAGATTTTCGTTTTATAATTTAATTAAATTAATGAAATGACATAAATTAGTATTTTACTTGTTTATCCTTAATAAATTGAATGAAATTTGTTTTAAAAGAAGATTTTTGTAATGGCATTCTTAAGTAAAATCTTACAAAAGGGAAGGTTAGTTAAGGGTATCTTATAAAGTGTACTCCCCAAATAATAGTATAGGATGAAAATTTGACAATAAACAATTGTTGCTTGGGTCTATGATCATCATACATTCAATACAAATCCTGTGTGCTATAACAATAACCACAACAAGAAGAAGAGAAAAAAATGAAGAAGAGGGACAACACTAGATTTGGTCACAAGCTTATGTTTGTGTTTTAACAAGCTTGGTCAATTTCGCAACTAAGAACACCTACTGATGGATGTGTGGTCTTGAGAAGTGAAGCTGGTCGAGCTACCATACTCGAAAATTTCGCATAGCTCGGAGAATCCTCTTTCCCTGACGGTGTAAAGAAAGCGCCGTTAACCATTTCATCTCCTTCTGATTTCCAATTCCATTCCTTCCATTCTTCGTCTCCATCTGCACTCTCTCGCTTTGTAACCTGCGTATAGGGCAAGTGAGTTTTAGAAGTATGGAGTAAACATTAATTTCCATCTAGAATCTAATCCATATGGTAAGAATTAAATTGTACTAATTGTTAGGTTAAAACGCTCATGGTTTAATTTTGTGGACCACATGTCACGAACGTACCTCCTTGGTGAACTGATTATTGGAAGCTATGAAAACATTTCCTTGACTAAAGATAGTTGGATTAGCACTTCCACCAATAGCATACATCTTCCACTCTCTATAAATGTTATTCACTATGTGAAAATATCCATGCCTGCACCTACACATAGTTCCATTAAATTTTCTAATTAGTATTTATATACATAATTACACAAATGGTATTTTAAACACGAATTTTTTGTTAGCTTATAAATTTGACATCAAGAAAAAATATAAATAGAAGATTGTACTAATTACCTCGGCATTCTCTGGACAAGTCCTTCACCAAAATAGTTAAAGGCGATCGTAACTCGCATATCCCGATCACCGGAATACTCATCACTATGACCCAAAAGCATGACTTCATTATGATTCAACATGTAAGTATTTGAAATCGTTATATCCGTGGATCCATTCACCGCATCAATAAGCCCATCGTAACATTTCTCTAACGTACAATGATCAATCCAAATATCTCGAGACTCGAATATCGAGATTCCATCGCCATCCGAGTATCCTCCCAACGACGATAAAGCATTCCGTTTCGCCGGAACACAATCGTGAATATAAAGATTGTTTATAATAACATTACTTACTTTATATAAAGTTAAACACGGCCCATAAGCTATTTGTACGTTATTTCCTCTACCATCAATGGTTTTATATGATGCTACTTGGAGATCTTGTTTTAGTTGTATTACCATGTCTCGATCAAAAATGATCCATAGAGGTTGATCTTGTGTTGCAGCGTACCGTAATGTACCTGGAGATGGATTTAGAGGATTGTCGTCTCCTGAATCAGTTACGGTGTAGAACTCGCCGGCTCTACCGCCAATTGCGTCTCGTCCGAATCCAACCGCGCAATCCGCAAGGTTTTTGCGGTTGTCCTTCCAGTTTTCATCGCATCTCCAGCAGTCATCGATTGGATTTCCATTTGCTGAGCAAGAAGCTGTTGAATTTGATGTTAATGATGTTGATAGTTGCCTTACGATTGGTGGTTTAGGAACCACAAACGCGAACGCAGAAGAAACGTTTAAGAGAAACAAGAAAATCGTACATACAAGTGACATTATATGGTCTTAGCAAGTACTTGTTAAACTAAGTAACTAATTTCACTATGAACATTATGTTTATAATTTGTTCAATATATATATGCAAGAGACATTAAGTGCGCTAAAAAATAAATACGGAGGTAATTAAATTAGGTGAAAATTGAAAGAATTGGGTCCAATACAAGACACTACGCCGTTTTATACCGGTGGATTTTGATATTTAAATACACACAAGAAACAAAAACAATAACAGAGGCTATTTAATTGTTACCTTACTTCAAATAACTACGTGCCGTTTAAAGGGTAACTAACTACCTGCCGTTTGCCATATTAGAAAGGTAAGAAGACGACACATTGTTTTAAGACAAAATTTACAAACAGCGTGGAGTTTAGTTTATTATCCTCTCATCATGTGTTGAGCTCTCTTCCCGTTTTGTGTGAAGTAAAACAGAAACAGAGCAAAATGGCAATAATATCTCAGCTTTTTGCTCCATTACCATCTCTCCCCGGAACCCTAACCCTAACCGGTCGTTCTTTTCTCCCTCTAAACCCTAGTACTCAATTCCCAAAACCTAGACTATCCAGAGAAAGAGCCGCCACACTCGTACTCCAATCCAAGGGTGATGATTCCGTCGACGCATCAGATCGGATAATCTCAGCCGTCTGTTACTTCTACCCATTCTTCGATGGGATTCAATACGGTAAATTCATCATCACACAGTACCAACCATTTCAGATTCTCATCCAACCTTTGTTTCCCGCCATCAGAGCTTTCAAGAGCTTCCCTTTCAATGGGTTTCTTATCTTCATCACTCTCTACTTCGTCGTTGTGAGGAACCCTAATTTCAGCAGGTACGTTAGGTTCAACACGATGCAAGCGATTGTGCTTGATGTGTTGTTGATTTTCCCGGATTTGCTTGAGAGGAGCTTTAATCCAAGAGATGGGTTTGGTTTAGATGTGGTGATGAGTTTGGACAGCACAGTGTTCCTCTTCTTGCTTGTCTCTTTGATCTATGGATTCTCTGCTTGCTTGTTTGGTCTGATCCCGAGGTTGCCTCTTGTTGCTGAGGCTGCTGATAGGCAAGTCCTTTGATGCAATAATATGTTTATATGTAAACACACATGTGCTGTGATTGAACCTTCTCTTCTATGTATTGGATCTGTTTCTGATAATCAAAACATACAATGTAACTTTTTGATCCAATGAAAAAGGTTTCTGCAGACTTTGGCCATAGAGATAGAACAAAATGAAGAATAGAAACAGAGAGAGATTTTATCATATAACAATTTTGATTTGATTAGTTCTCCTCATCACATATTTGAAAAAGCAATATGGTGAGGAAATATGAATTCTGTAACAAAAGACAACCACACCAATGGTGGTGTGAGTGTTTTACATATCTGCACTCATCTGTCTAATAAAAGGGACAAAGTTGTTCCAGTTCTCGACCCTAAAGAACTTCTCATTCATTCTGCAAAACGTAAAAGATCTTAGAGTGTCGCCATTCGGTTGCACACAGTTCTCTCGTATTTGCCTTAGTCCCATCTGTTGCAGAATTCATATATAAACGGTTAATAGCCACCACTTTTGACCTCAACGTCTAAGACTAAAGAATGTGCAAATCTCTCACCTCATCAAATCTTTCGCTTGTGTTTCTACCAGTCACCTGTATTGTCCACTTCTTCGAAACATCGTGTATCTAGCAGGAAAAAAAAAGGGACAATGTCGATTTGTCAATGTTCTTAAGGCATGCTTAATTGTCTCAAAGTGAAGAACCTAGTGTAGCAGCGCAGTAAGAACAGAGAGACTAGACCAGTTTGAAGTGTCTCAGTGGAAGTAAATAGTGCCACAACAGTGACCATTCTGAATACATGCTTCATATGAACATAATTGAATTCTAGATCAAAGGTTTACGAAAGAAAGTACCTGTCTTCGCAATCCTTCTGGGCTGCAAAGATATTTCTCAGGTGTTTCACTGTCTGCCATATCCAAACAGCTGGAAATGATATAATAGATTCTCTCATTAGTGACACTGGACTCATCAGCTTCTGTGAATTATGTACATAGTAAAAGAAAACTTCAGAGAAAGGCTCTCACGGAATATTCAGAGCAGCACCATGACGAGACAAGACGGAAGCGACAGGATCATAACCATCCCTGAGGGCGGTGTTGTAATAACCAGCAGTTAGTTCAGCGGGGTGTGAAGAGGTCTTATACCACCAATAGATTCCACCAATTTTTGCAACCAGCATTACAGAGCTTTTCTCTTCTTCCTGACGTCTCCGCAAAACATCGGCTGCCTTTGCAAGAATAGCATCAGCATGACAAATCAACTTCCCACTGTACCATTCCTACAATGAAAAGCAGTTCACTTTGTTATTTATAATCCAACCTACTGGACACTTTTTTCCAAACACTGCTTCAAGATCATAGCAATATAATATATCAGAATCACCAAAGATGCTATGATATAAGAACATACTAGAAAGAAACGACCATAGTCAGAGAGAAAGCTATCATTGCCCTCCTCAAAGAACGGAACTTTTGATGGAAAGCTATTATAGCAGCCGGTATTCGGAGGATCTCTGCTTCCCCATTGAGGTTTGCCTTCTTGGGATGCCACTGCCATCAAGTCTTCCATCCTAAACCAAGTAGTATAAATCTGTAAGTGTGATTCGTACAGGCAAATACAAATTCTGAATAAATAAGCACTCACATGTACTTGTCATGGCATTGGAATTCACCAATTCCAGGGAATTTCCACCTCCCATCTCCAGAAGGATGTGCAGGATATCTGCAAGAGATATCTGTGTAAGAAACTCCTATTGTAGCTATTGTGGCTTTACCAGTGGTAGTCCACAGAAAATCAGAAGTACCTAAGCTCCCCCGAAGGACCAAGACCTATACTTATTTCTTCAATCACGTTCCCAAAATACGGCTCAAATTTTGTAGAAAAACTGAGCATAAAATCTTCATAGCATTGGACAGCAGTACGGCCACCGAACAAAGGAAGTTGATCGACTCCAAGTGTGAGATAGTCATTGTTGGAAAGTCCACTTTTATCTCGATAGTATATGTCCTTATTGACGTCTCCAATCTGGAAATTAAAAGGTGGAAAAGAGCTGAGCGAAACTATATTACTGGAGCAACAAGCAGATGTACAAATTCTTAACAAAGGAAAGCACTCCCAACGACAACATAATCAAATAAGCATTCATGATTGTGTACCAGAAATCAAGATACTCCAAGGTTTCACCAGAAAAAAATCACAACTATCAGTATTCACCAGAGTAAAAGTATTGAAAAATTACAACCTTAAAAATATTCAAAGGAAGAAGCAAAATCCGAATCAGGCAACCTTTGCTATGTCTACTGCAGACAAATAACTAAATACCTGTAAATCAAACAATACAAACCTCTCGGATCCAGAGTGGAAGACTGATGCCTCCTTTCCCACCAAACAAGTGCATATTTGAATGAAAGCAAAGAGCAACATGTAACTTCAACCCTGCCTCGGAAATCAGTCTAAAGAGCTCTTCATACAGTGACCATTTAAACTCAAGAGGACAGAAACGCTCTACAATCCCCCACCAAACCTCAACTGCGATTCCATGAACACCAGCTAACTTGAGTGCCTTGAGAGAAACAGTTAAAGCCTTGAGCCTAAAACAAGAACAGATAGAAACTTCATTACCTGATCAGTGAAGAGAATGAAAAAAATAAGGAACCAAAAGAAGAAAGTACACTTGTCTTGTTCTGAAAATGGAATTATACTATATTCCATACCATGTAAGGTTATATAAATCGGGTACATTGAAACATTTCAAGAAACTTAACCTTTTAATCTTTGGGCACCCAGAAGCATCAATTCCAAATGTATCAATTGGCATCATCACAAAAACTGGAACTTTCTTGTGCCTTGATGATACCAACACAAACGATCGTGACTTCTCTCGAGCATCCATGCTATTATTAATCATGTTCATCAACCAAACAAAAAATCGATTAATTCCAATCCAATTTCAATCGCAGATGATCGTGATTTCTCTCAGTCTTCCCCAAATTGATTCCACTAAAGAATCGTCCACGAACTAACGAAAATGTTCTAATCGCTTCCATTTTTCTTGAATTTAACAACGAGAGAGAGAAACTAATTACCTAAAGATTCGGCTGTTTCCGGCGACGGAACGCCACTTAGTGATGAAACGGCCGCGTTTGGAAGGAGGAATCATAGAAACGCTTCGGAAAAAGTTACGATTACGCTTTGTACTCTGCTCGAGGAAACAAGATTTCAAAGAAAATCCTCCGGGATGGAAGAAATTGCCGCCGGTAACTCCGCGGCAGCCACATCCGATTACTCCAGTCTCCGCCATTTTCGTTACTTCTCCTTCGTCGGAGATATTTCTCTGATGGTTTTAGATGCGGAGGAAAAGAGACGGAGATGGAGTACTTGAAACGCAAAATTTTTATTTCTCTTTTTCTTTTCTTTTTTTTTTTAACGACCCAAAATTTATTTGGGACTTTTTTAATATATATACTGAATTTTAAATCAAGAAAATTTTCAACTTTATAATTCCTTCTTGACCCCTCTACTTTTTCTTTTATTGCCTTTCTTTCTTGTTTTTGCCCTTATATTTTTGAAGTTTATATAATTGACCCTAACTTTCGTTTTTGCTCCCTATTATACTCGTGCCTAGAATAACTGAATAAGTATAAGGTCTTTCAAACAATTTTACCATATAACTAAATAACGTTTTACTTGTTAAAGATTCAGTTTTAAGTAGATGATTGATTCTTTTTATTATTATTATAAAAACTCCTGTTTAGTGTGTAACTAAAAATGTAAATTCTATTTTGACTTTTATAATAAAAGTAATAAAAATATGAGGACTTGACTAGCATATAGTCAAAAATACTGTACTTTAGATGGTAAATTTTTTTAATGATATTAAATATCCATTGAATAAGGTTTTTTAACAAAGAAAAAAAATTCTATTGAATATACAATTTTGCTGACGTGGAAACATCTCGACCCTTAGTGGATAAGCATGTAAATTATCCATTAGAACATATCCCATGCTACTCGCCACCATCAACACTGCATACCAATTCTAGTAGTGAATTTGGCATTTTGGTACAATAAATAGTATACGAAAAATGTCTCACATATTTATGTTAACCTATTATTTCCGTCTTCATTGTCATTTAGATGATCAAATTAAATCATGGGTCCACGATATGTCACGTTTCAATCTCGTAGTACTCATCAAGTGGCAAAAATTTGTTTTTTTTTTTTTTGGTAAGGGCAAAAATTTGTTTATCACATACAGTAGTTGATTTATACGAATGTGAAAGACATTAAAAGATAAAAATATATTTCAAAATACCCAATAAATAATTGCATGGGACATTTTACTAGTGGTCGATCTCTCCTAGTATTATCAAAATGAACTATCGAGTATCAGTACGAATAATCATCACAGAAGTGTGACAAATTTAATTACGACAACGAACTAAAGGTTAATTTTCTAATTTCTATACAACCAAAGTGGTGTAGATCAATAAGAACATTGTAGGCTTGTAGCAAACGGATTTAATTAGAACCTCTCAGCCACCTCCGGCGCCAAATTTCCGTAAGAATATTAACAAAATTTTCAATTAAAGCAGAAAAAAGGAATATTTGAGAAAACTAATTGGCCCAAATCACAAACAAAATCCTCTTTCTTGGTCATGCTATAATTATAAGGTTTTCCTTTTATTGAACTCTTATCCCTTGTGTGTGAACATAGAAACTAAAGATTTGTATAGCTTCGTCCTCTTTAATACTACTTGAAAGAATGGAAAGAAATCAAATATCAGCATTGCTACCGTAATTTAGGGGAGGAAACGATATTTGAGAATAAACCATATATTCTTTTTTGCGTGTGTCTTATATAAACACAGAAAGAGGAACTCCATTGTTAAATCAAGAAACTTCAGAAAGTGGAGCTATTCAAGAAGGTATTATACGCTCTTTTTTCTTTTTAATAACCACTTTGCATTTACTTTATGGTTGATTTAGCTACGTGGTTTCCATACAATTCTATTTGATTATACGTGTTAAGAGTATATAGATTTGGAATTATGCACAGAAATCTCTAACAAAACGATACAAAAACTATGCACAAAAAGAGTTGAGGGATCTGATTGTTTTATATGCTGTTATATTACTACAACTTTGATTGATTCACGTAGTACAACACATATATTAAGTTTCAAATGCCTCTTAGTGAAAATTTTGAGAACGAAATGATATGATTCTTTCTTCACAATACATTTGTAAGGCCTACATTGCTATGAAAGGTGTACATTAGTGGTTTGTATTATTGCTTTTGTTGCAAATGTTTACTATTTTTTTATATGTTTTGGTAGCTTATTGTTACATCCAAATGATGGTATTAATTAGTTGTGTTTCACGACTTTCACGATTATGAGCTTTTGTTGTGTTTTACTCTTTTTTGGCTTTAGATTGAAACAAAGGTATCTGAATGGGTCGAAAGATGGTAAAGATGGTGAAGATAATGAACGAGAAAACGAGGATAACAACTTACAAGAAGAGGAAAGCATGTTTGTATAAGAAAGCCAGTGAATTCTCAACACTCTGCGGCGTGGACACTTGTCTCATTGTGTACGGCCCGAGCAGAGCAGGGGATGAGATGGTCGCGGAGCCAGAACTATGGCCAAAGGATGAGAGGAAAGTCCGTGAAATCATAACCAAGTACGGGGACACTGTGTCAAGCAACTGCACCAAGACTTACACCGTGCAAGAATGCTTGGAGAAAAACAACACTAAAGAGGAGAAACCGAAGATTACCATGAAGTATCCTACATGGGACAAAAAGCTTGACAAGTGCTCTTTAAATGATCTCTATGCGGTTTTCATGGCAGTAGAAAACAAGATCCAGGAGGCTACGAATAGGAATCAGACATTTCCTGACACTACTTGTTGGTCTAATGACCAACTTGGTTTATGCGGTTACAATCAACAATGTTTTGAGCAGTATCAGTTGTTTCCTCTGCCTACTCTGGAGCACAACGGGTTCTCTTTTTTCCCTTTTAATAACCAGATGACCTCAAATACCGCAGAAGTGGCTTCCTTCTCGAATGTGACAGAGCCGATGATAGCAAACGGGCAAAACTTGTTTTACGGGAGTTGTTCGGATGGTCCATATGGTCCGGTGGTACAGAGGACAGCTTATATGGAGCCAATACAATGGGGTTTAGGAAACAGTATGTTCAACAATGTGAAGCAGTTCCAAGATTATCCCTTCAGGTTTGCACAAGTTAATGACTTGGAGGATTCAAGTAAACTTCCCATGTGAGAAATGTCATTTGTTTCTTTCCTTTGTATGTTGGTTGGATTATTTCAAATGCTTTATGAACTTTTCTTTATCAAGTTCCTATAAATTTGTGGTCTTTCTACAGCTATATCATAGAATAAGTAAGTTGAAATTTTATGAAAATTATTGCACTAACAAATATATTCTACCAACATTAATATAAACTATATAGTATCAATACAAAACAAGCAAGTATCTTGTTAATTAGAATTATTACAAGGTATATTGAAGAATCTTATAGTCTGACAAAAAGTTAATTAACTTGTAGCACCAAAGGGGCCACTAAGAACAGCAATATGCATAGAAGATCGTGTTGAACGGATTTAGAAGCCGACTTGGCTCCGGCGGGAACCTCAGCAGCCTCTGGGGCCAAATTCGCCGTCGCCGGTGCAGAACTACTTACGGGACCTCGTCCGTAAGGAAATATATCCGGCGTATTCGCTGGAGTTGATGGAATACCAGGGGTTGTTACCGGCGATGTTGCTGCGATCTCTGGAGCATCGCCGGAGACTGGTGGTTGGTTTGATGGGGCGGTGGCAGGTGATTCTATCGAGGTGGTGGGACTCATTGTAGGAGCGGATATTGGAGACTTCCCTGGGATTGTAGTGGGAGGGGAAACAGGGGAGGTTGCAGGAGTAGAGACAGGTGTCGTGGCGGTAGTCGGAGAGGAAACAGGGGAAGTTGCCGGAGATAAAACAGGGGAATTCAGAGGAGATGCAATGGTACGAGATGTAACAGGGGAAGTCGCCGGAGATGAAACAGGGGATTTCAATGGAGAAGCAATTGTCCGAGATGAAACAGGGGACGTCGCCGGAGTAAAAACAGGAGAATTCGATGGAGACGCAGCGGTCCTAGATGGGGAAGTCGCCGGGACAAAAACATGGGCTTTGGATGGAGACGTCACGGTCCGAGATGGAGAAGTCGCCGGAGTAATAACAGGGGATTTCAAAGGAGACCCAATGGTCCGAGATGTAACAGGAGAAGTCACCGGAGAAACAACAGGGGATTTCGATGGAGTCACAAAGGCTGGAGAGGAAACAGAGGATTTCTCCGGTGACTTCGTAGGCGAGGTTTGCTTCGTCGGAGATGGTGCCTCTGGAGGGTTTTGGATCACCGGCGGATTTAAAGTAGGCGTTAGAGGAGACTTTGACGGAGGAATAACACGATGAGATTTTGCCGGAGGATGTAAAGTGGGCGTTTGAGAAGACTTCGTCGGAGACTTCGACGGAGAAATAACACGATGAGATTTTGTAGGAGGATGTTGTTTCTCGGGGAGTCTCGGCGATTGAGCGGGTGCATTGTCCGCTTGTACATTACCAGAAATGGACATTAAGAAGACAAAAATGGAAATTACAACAAACCGATGCATCGTGTTTCGTGTTTTGTTTGATTCTGGGAAAGAATACAAAAATCCAAAATGTTGTATTTCGATTCTCTGTTCTTCTTAGTAAATTAATATCTGCAGGTTTCGGTTTATGGATTTATACGAAAGAGAATTTTTTAAACGCGAAACGTTGTGGATTGTGATAATCGAGATATATGACCGTTGGAGGCGCCTGTATCGTACGTAGTGAAGTAGCCGTTAAACCGGTACTAGTAGACAACAAGAAGTTTAGTTCAGAGAAGATCAGACTACGTGATGTTTGATAGGTTATCGAAAGTCTAAACGACAGGTAGTCTACACTGGTACTGTAAATGAGCCCATTAAAAAGCTAGCTTATTTTATATGGCCCATGAAACCACGCGTGTTTGGATTGTTTAGTTCTCGTAAATTCGTAATACACGTGTGCATCGCTCGAAAGAGGCTCTACAATGCGCACGGTGCATGTTAGTGAAATTAGTTGGATTCCATCGAGACAAAAAAAAATTTTAATTGTAAAGAGAAAAATAATCAAAAAAGAAAATCCTAGAAATTTCACAAATCTACCGGATTAGGGTTTCTAGCCTTTTCTCCGTTTCAAGCTTCCGGGAACAAAATTTCTGCAGAATCTCTTGTGTTCTTCAGATTGTTCATGTTCGAGTGATAGCGTAAGCTTGTGGTATTCTGATTTGAGAATACGATTGAAAGAAAGGAGCTTTCTTTATCACAAGGAAGAGTCTTTTAAGATGGATGAGGGAGATGGGAGAGATCAGATGGATCAATTTCATCAAAATGAGGCGATATCTGCCGTAGCTGATGACGGGTTTTTGGCGGAGGAAGAGGATGATGATTATGAGGATCTTTATAACGACGTTAATGTTGGAGAAGGGTTTCTTCAGTCTATGAAGAAGAACGACGAAGCGGGATCTAGGAACGAGGAAAAGGAAAAGGTTAGCATCGAGGAGGAAGATAGGGTTGAACCAGTTTTAGGTGCGTCGGAAGCTGAGGTTTCGATACCTGGTTTGGTTGGTGAGAGCGTTGCTAAAGAAGCAGAAGCACAAGGAGGAGGAGGAGGAGGAGGAGGAGGAGGAGGGAGTGGTACTGATGTGGTGGTCGCTTCTAGTGGATATGGAGCTCAAGAGGTTAAGGTAAGCGATGTTAGCCAGGAGATTTCTGGTGGAATTGGTACTGGTACTGGAAGTGGGCTTAGAGTTGAGCTAGGGCAAGCTGCTAATCGGGCAAATAATCTCGAGGCACCTAGAGGAAATAATATTTCGCAGGGTCTCTTGCCACCACCGCATGTGTTGGGGAATAACGAGAATTTGATGAGACCTGTGATGGGTAATGCTAATGGCGGGACTCCTCCTGGACCTGGTAGTGTTATGGTTGGGAACGGAGCTAATATCGCTATGCCTGGTGTTGTTGGCGGGGGAACTGGTGGAGGAGGAGGCGGTGGAGCTATTCTTTTTGTTGGGGAACTGCATTGGTGGACAACTGATGCTGAGCTTGAGGCAGAGTTGTGCAAGTATGGTGCAGTGAAGGAGGTTAAGTTCTTTGATGAGAAAGCTAGCGGGAAGTCTAAAGGGTTTTGTCAAGTAGAGTTCTATGATCCTATGGCAGCTTCGGCTTGCAAAGATGGAATGAATGGGTATGCATTCAACGGTAGGCCTTGTGTTGTTGACTATGCGTCTCCATATTCGGTTAAGAGAATGGGAGAGGCACAGGTGAATAGGACCCAACAGGCGCAATCTGTAATTGCACAAGCTAAGAGAGGTGGGCCTGCTGATCCTCCAAGTAAACCAGTCGTGACCAACAACAATAACAACAACAACAACGCCATTGGCGGGAATTTCCAAGGCGGGGAAAATAGAGGATTTGGTAGAGGTAATTGGAGAGGCAATGCTCAAGGAATGGGTGGTAGAGGACCAGGTGGTCCAATGAGGAATAGGCCTGGTGGGATGGGTGGACGAGGTTTGATGGGTAATGGTGGAGGTGGGTTTGGTCAGGGAATGGGTACAGGGCCTCCTATGAATATGATGCATCAACCAATGATGGGGCAAGGGTTTGAACAAGCTTTTGGTGGACCGATGGCGAGAATGGGAGGGTATGGAGGATTCCCTGGGGCTCCAGGTCCACCGTTTCCTGGGCTTTTGTCCTCATTCCCTCCTGTAGGAGGAGTTGGTTTACCTGGAGTGGCACCTCATGTGAATCCAGCGTTTTTTGGACGAGGGATGCCAATGAATGGAATGGGAATGATGCCTAATGCTGGTGTTGATGGAGGGCATAATATGGGAATGTGGGATCCTAATAGTGGAGGATGGGGTGGTGGTGAAGATCTGGGTAGTGGAAGAGCTGCGGAATCGAGTTATGGGGAGGAAGCTGCATCTGATCATCAGTATGGAGAGGTTAATCACGATAGAGGGGCTCGTCCGAATCCAGTGAAGGAAAAAGAAAGAGTTTCAGAAAGAGAATGGTCTGGTTCTTCTGATAGAAGGAATCGTGAGGATAAAGATGCTGGTTATGAAAGGGACATACCGAGGGAGAAAGATGTTGGTCACGGTTATGATATGCCAGAGAGAAGGCATCGTGATGATAGAGACATTGGTCGTGAGCGTGAGAGGGAACATCATCATAAGGATCGTGAACGCTCCAGAGAACATGTTCGTGACAGAGAAAGGGACAGGGAGAGGGATCGTCATAGAGAAGAACGAGACCGATATGGTGGTGATCATCGTACTAGACACAGGGACGAACCTGAACATGATGAGGAATGGAATAGAGGTAGATCATCCAGAGGACACAGCAAATCGCGGTTGTCTCGGGAGGATAACCATCGCTCAAGATCAAGGGATACTGATTATGGGAAAAGAAGGCGGCTTACTACTGAATGAATATCTGATAAAAGTAAGTAGTTAAATCTAATGGTATCTTTCGTTTCTCATGTATTGTAAATTCTACCATTCTTTTTGGGTTTTTTGCTTTTAGACTTGGCTAGTTACTGGCCTAGTTAGTTTTTCTGACCAAAAGTTAGCTGTCTGCAAAGTCATACTGTTGTCTCATTGTCTAACTTGTGTATACTCTCGTAGATCAATGTTTTTTCGAGTTGATAGTAATCATTGTGGTTTATACTTTCGCCCTTCTCTTTGCTGACTAAGGTTTCTGTTCTCTTCTTAAATTCATAACATTATGGGTAGATTGACTTTGAGAGCTCCTGCAAAACTATAAACCCCCTTATGGAAGAAAAGCAAGATGAGGAAGAAGAAAGAAAACCTCAGAGAAAGGCAGACTCTTGTCAAAGATTGAAGACTCTCACTGGTGAAATCTCTTCTTCAACTCAGCTTAGATACCTAGAAGTGGAAAGAAACTCGGCAAACGTTTGCCTTCTTTAAGTTATTAGACACCTTACCTTTTTGCCATTTTTATGTGAAACTTCTAAAGACCAGTGTGTTGTGGTGATGTTTTGGCCTTTTGGGTTTCCATTCCATTTGTGTTTAGATGTTCTTGTTTTAACTGTTTCTGAATTTGTTGTTGTGTAGTTGTATTAGTTGCAGCCAAATAGCTAGCCTGGCCAGTGTTACTGATCTTGTTTCTCCATGTTTTAGCCATTTGGGCTGTATTGTATGTATCTCATCATATTGTAAGCCCTTAATCTGCCTTAGGATCTTCAGAGGTCATGAGACATGACAAATGTAACAGCATGAGCATCCTTTGGGATTGTGTTTTTGTGATTTCCAAAAGTGATGTAGTAGATCATTTTGTTGTTGTTGAAGAGGAAATTTGGTAGCTCCTTGTTCAACTGTGTACATAATAGAGGTAATATTTCTCCGTTTCCATGGTTTTTCTTTATGTTATGAACACATCCACATCAATGGCATACAGATCCTTTTTTCTTCATTAGCACTGGCCAAGTTGATTCTTCCTTGTACTGCTGTGCTCTTTAGACATTGCTTGATTCAGTAGAAGAGGTTTCTTTGAGTCTGCTTGAATAGGTCGATATGATTATTTTCTTGTGTCCTTTCTTTCTCCTCATGGTCTTGATTGTCAGTATCATTATAGTTGGGCATCATACAACCTGATCAAAACAAGACGGGTAAAGTAATATAGTACAGAGACGAAACGGAAACTAATATAAGTTCTAGCAAATGTCTTAAAAAGGAAACCCAAAAATCAAAAGGCTGTTCAAGTTGGGCATGAATCCTAAAGGAGCTTATGTTAAATGGTATACACAAACAAAGCTGCTTATCTTAAAACTACTACTTCTCAGCGTCTTCCTCCCTCCGACTCTACCAAAAGTTTTTTTTTTTTTTAAATCTGCTTGTAGAAACAATTCCAGACTAAACAACCAACAAATTACATTCTCTGATATATTTGCCTAATGACTGATGAGGCTAGGCAATCGAGGAGAGACCCCTTCAAGATTAACTAGTAGGTCGACTAGATTTATGTGCTTTGTGATTAAGCTTTAACCTCCTCTCCACCACCAGATCCTCCAGCTTTCTCTTTCTTCTCTTCTTCTTCCTCATGCTCAGCATCCTCTTCTTCTCCTTCCTCATCCTCGGCTTCATCTGCTAGCTTGGTGAGTTCATCTTGGATCATCAGCTTAATAGATGACTTTTTTGAGGCGAGACTGATTTTGAACTTATCATCTGAAAGACGGGCAAAAACAATGCATGTTAATCAAACAAAACAGAAACCAATGCAAAGACTATCAGTGAAGAAAAGAACTACTAGAAAACTATCTCATCTTTACCTAGTCGCTTGAGGATGTCAGTGAATGTGGCCTGTCAGAAAATGATAAAGCATTTGTTAGATATCTATCTTCTGTGCTCAATTACTGTAATTTCATGACACATATGTTCATGGTTCAAATTCTCACCGTGTTGAAGTCCACCCCTTTCAAGATATCAATAATTGCAGTTTTCAATTCTTCATCACTAGGCTCCTTGGTTTTGTCTTTCCCTTTTCCGCCTCTTTTTCCTATCAGTAAAACAAGAATAACAAACACAGATAAAACATAGCGTCAGAAAAAAGAAAGAAAAAATAAAGGCTGCAATATTGGATTAACTTCTGCAGTATAAGATCAAGGATTAAGATTGCTCAAGCTTCTGACAAAACATGTACTCGTTTTTGAAAAGGAATGGTATGACCAAACCTGGCTTCTCTTTTGATACAGATTTTGAAGGAGCCGAGGGCTGCTCCTTGGCCGGTTTTTCAGTCTTCTTCCTCTTAGAGGATGCCTTTGGACTTGTATCACTGTCGTCATCACTCTTCTTCCGTTTACCTGCTGAGCGCTTTTGAGTAGCTTTCTTTGGTGGACTGGATTTCGTAGAGACTGCAGTTTTCTTGCTTCTGGATTTCCCTGCTGATTCTTTCTTTCCAGATGATGTCCTAGAACCACATTTCTTCTTTTTAGTTTCTTCCTCTGACTCCTCCTCAGATTCAACTTTCTCCTCACTTTCAGAAGGCTGAGGCGCCTCGTCCTCAGATATATCAGGGATCCCATTTTCATTTTCCTCCTCTTCCTCCTCTACCTCCTGCTCTTTCTCTTCTTCTTCATCGTCCTCTTTCTCTTCTTCAGACTCATCATCAGAATGAGGTAAACTCTTTTTAGTCCTTGTCGCTTCCTCGGTCTTTTTTTGGCTCTGTAAAGAACACAAAGAAACGAATCAGATTTCAGGTACTCGGGTAAATGAAAAACGGCTACAAATGCATTAACCTGACACACACATTCTCTTCACAATTTATTAGCAAAAGGATTTAAACCTCCAGTTCTAAGCTATTGAGTGATACCTTTGCTGATCGTTTTGAAGATGAACTTCCAGCTGCAGGTGAACTTTTCTTAGGAGTTCTTTTGCGCTTTGCTCCCTATTGAACAGAAAATTAAAAAAGCTGTATTATGCACAATAAATTTTCAGGCTTAATTGCTGAACAGAAGGCCTTTCCAACACCAAAGTTACCTTCTCTTTCTCAATGACATCAGTTGTTGCATGAGGTTTCTCCAAAAACTCAACCAGCTTTGTGACAATATCTTCCTATATTGGAGGAAAAGTACCATACATTCAGTTGCCAAGTTTATTACATTGGGGAAAATACAGAGGCATTGACCCCTAACATGATGCTCATTCATTCATGACAGCAAAAGAAACTCCAAAGAACGAAACATAGAAATGAGTAGCCATAGTAACCTTCTTTGTGGTCGTCTTAGCAACTGATATGTCAAATAGATCGCAAAACTCCAACAATCTTTCTTTGTTGATTTTCTCAATCTTTTCTTTCACTTTCAATTTTGCCTTTTCCTGTCAAATATCATTTGAAAATTATGTAAGAAATATGAGACGAGCATGGTTAGAAAAATATGAATGTGTTGTCTCGCCCACCTCATCTCCTTGCCATTTGTAACCAGAAAAGCGTAATATGTTTGCCTTGAGCTGAGTAGCCTGTCAAAGTACGAAAATAGAGTCACATATGAATATGATTAGCAGATTCTCTATAATCTTAAGGATACCATGATGCAATCCTAAAAACTTCAAATTTCATTGGAACCCCCACAAGAAAATGCATATGATCGACAGTTTACAAAATTGTCTAACTGAGTGACTAAAATTGAAAAGGGTACAAAGAGATGCTCACTTTTCCTCTCCTTCCACCGAATAGAATGAAGTGTAACTGCTTGAAAACTTCATCAGACTTCTTCCTTGATACCTTGTAAGCAACTGCAGAGATAAATACAAGTTATCTATTTCATTTAAAGAGCAGATACACTATTGAGTATGTGGAACCAATGAAGTATTTAGAGAATGTGATCATGACAATCAACTTCAAATCCATGGGAATTTTTGCATTTTAAACCACACTCTAGTCACTAAAACCAAAAGGAAAACATCTCCCAAAAAAAAGATTGACAAAGCCAGAAACAAATATTATCTAGAGATAAGAAAACCAAGCCTACAAAGTCACAAAGAGCAATCCAGTAATAGGAACGACTATGAGCTCAAGTAAATTCTAAAGAAAACTAAAGCCAAAAAGACGTTTTAACAAAACGACTAAATTAGGACGAGAGGAACTGTAAAGATAATATTTAGAATATGAACATACCACTGGGAATATCTTTGAGAGGTGTCCCTTTTCCCTGTATTATCCAAAAGCAAATTATGAATAGATCTAACAATGAAATACTATATACCAACCAAACAAAGGAAACTATTTGCAAACCTTTTCAACATGGAATTCCTTTGAAGAATCTTTATCAACCACCGCAACAAGCCTTTCAACAGACTTTCGCTCACGGACAGGGCGATCAGAGAAAGGAGTCCTAGGTTCTATATCCTTCTTTTCTTCCTCACTCTTCGTCTTCCCGCGAGCCTTCTCAGTCTTCCCTTTCCCTCGCTTGTTTGACTTCTTGATCTCTTCTTTTTTGTCTTCCTTATCATCATTGCTCTCTTCTTTTTCATCTTCCTTATCATCCATACTCTCTTCTTTCTCATCTTCCTTCTCTTCCTCTTTCTCTTCATTCTCATCCTTGCTGTCATTTATCTCATTTTCATTCTCGTCCTTACTCTCTGTTTTTTTGTCTTCCACTTTTGGCTCATCGACCTCAGTGTCTGCCTCCACTTCCTCTCCTTTGTTTGTTTCCTCCTCTTTCCCCTCTTCAGCTAGTTCGCCCTCATTCTTTTCCTTCGGTGCCTCTTCTTTGTCACTTTCATCCACATTCTCCACCTTTTCATCCTCATCAACATCGCCCCCTTTGTCTCCACCGACCAACTTCTCTTCCTCTTTGATCTCTTCCTTATTCCCTTCTTCGTTTCCATTTACTTTCCCTCCTTCTAGTTTTTCCTCCTTTGATTCTTTCTCGGTTTTCTCTTGGTCTCCTTCTGGATTTTCGGCGCCTTTTACATCTTTCTTGTCAGCAGACTCCACCTTTTCATCCATTACAGTATCTTCCTCAGTAGCACCGCCAGAAACACCATCATTAGCTTTCAAGTTCTTGTCATCTGTGTCTTCATCCATTTTATCAGCTTCTGGTTGTTCCTTGTCTTTGTCATCTGTGTCTTCATCGACATCGTTCTCTTCTGTTTTCTCAGTCTCAACCTTCTTCTCTTTTTCTGTAACCTCGGCCTCTTTATCTCCCGTCTCACTTTTTCCTTGGTGTTGCTTACTCTCATCATCTATCTCCATTTTCTCAGGTCCAGTATCCTCGTCTTTCTTACTTTCCTGTGTTTCCTTGCCACTAGCATTCTCCAGTACCTCCTTTCTGCTGATAGCATCTGATGTCTTTTGAAGAGAGCTAGTCCCATTTGCCGTTGGCTCCACAGTGACTTTTGTATCTTCTTCCCCCATTGCTCACCCAGTGTTCAGTAGATCTTAAAGCCAAAAACACCAGAACGCTGTGGAAAATATAAGTTTAGTGTTAAGAACTTCCACAATAAGGGCAGAAGATCATGAAACAAAAGGCACGCAAAAGAAGGGTTCAATAACCCAAAACTGAATGTGCAAGTAAAGAATTCAGAGCAGGAACAAACTTATAGCAACATGTAAACTTCATTGCATCCCATCTTTCTACATACAACTTCAATGGGCTCTAAC